CCGATGTGGATATTCTGCGATGCTGTTGCTTGGAATTTCGTGAACTGTTCTGTGACGTTACTAAAATCGATCCCTTTGAGAAATGCCTTACCATCGCGTCCGCATGCAATCAAGTGTATCGGACAAACTATCTTCGAGAAAACACCATTGCCATCATCCCACCGCGCAGTTACTGTCCTGAAAACAAACAGTCCTTCTTGCACAAAAATGGTTGTCGTATACAGCCGAACGAAACGAGATTTACATACAGCATGCTCGCAACCGCGGAGAGAAATGTGTTGGTCCGTACTTGCTGGATGGTTATCATGAAGAAACCCACACGGCCTATGAAGTCCATGGATGTTTCTGGCATGGTAAGTGTTTGAATAAACGCCTCCCTCAAATAGACGCTCCTTAGAATAGTATTTTGTTTATTTCTTACAGGATGTATAAAATGTTACGCTCGTGATACAATGAACCCTGTCAAAGGTAGAACCATGCACGATCTTCATCAAAAAACCGTGGAAAAGATACAGTATTTGAAAAATCAAGGCTACAACGTGGTAGAAGTTTGGGAATGTAGAATCAATCGGGAATTGGCAGATAATGAAGACATGAAATATTACTTTGATCAGTATGATGGAGTCGATCCCTTGGAACCTTGTGATGCCCTATATGGAGGACGAACCAACGCGTTGAGACTTTACCATGAGTGTAATGATGATGAGAAAATAAGGTAGGACGAAAAAAAAAATTGAGGTTATGTATGACGTTTTACTACGTCATGTATGACGTCATGTCTTGCGTCATTCTAGATATGTGGATTTTACAAGCCTTTACCCCTGGTGTAATAAAATGACGTGAACGGTTGTGGGACATCCACGCATCATCACCGAGAACTTTGACGACATTTCCACTTACTTCGGTCTGGTCAAATGCACCGTGCTTCCACCTCGAGGTCTGTTTCACCCTGTTCTTCCTTATCGCACCCAAGGCAAGTTGATGTTTCCACTTTGCAGGACCTGTGCCGATGCCTGTAACCAGACTCCCTGCGGCCATGCCGACCGTGAAAGAGGCATTCAGGGTACATGGTGGAGCTGGAGAAAGCGCTGGAGAAAGGTTATCAAATCGTACAGATTCATGAAGTGTGGCACTTTCCTGAAACCTCGGATGACCTGTCAAGGACTATATTGACACATTCCTGAAAATTAAACAGGAGGCGAGTGGGTACCCAAAAGATAGCGTCACCGAAGAGCAGAGGCAGCACTACGTGGACGAGTACCTTGAAAAGTCGGGAATCCATTTAGACCCCCACAAGATCGAATACAATCCTGGATTACGCGCTCTGGCTAAACTGATGTTGAATTCGTTCTGGGGTGAGTACCATGCTTTCATCGATATATTTTCGCTACATGATACTTAACAGTTTCTCGTTTAGGTAAATTTGCACAACGACCCAACATGGTTAAAACCGAGCAGATAAAAGATCCACAAGTATTCTTTGACTACCTCACTTCTGATGAGATCAACGTGCTTGATGCCGATTTAGTGAGTGACAACATCATCGAAATCCGGTACGAGTATACGGACAATTTTATCAAACCCGATGTGAAAACCAACATGGTCATTGCTGCTTTCACCACCGCCCATGCACGTCTCAAGCTTTATGGCATGCTGGACATGTTGCAAGAGAGAGTGATGTATTACGATACCGACTCAGTGATTTTTGTCAGCAAAAATCAATGAACCCGAACCTCCCTTGGGCAACCATCTCGGCGAATTAACCGATGAACTGGGAAGCGAATACATTACTGTGTTTGCGTCGGGCGGTCCGAAAAATTATTGCTACCGTACGAATAGTGGTAAAGTTGAGACCAAAGTGCGTGGAATCACTGTAGACTGCACGGCGAGGCAGAAGGTGAACTTCAAGGTGATTCGTGGACTGGTGTATTTAAATGCTAAATGTCAGGTGACGGGGCAAGTGTCTGTGGACATTCCGTTTAGAATCACAAGAAATACCCGGACCAAGGAAATTGAAACGAAGCGTATGAAAAAGGACTACAGAATAGTTTATAATAAACATGTAATTATGGATGATAACAAAACATTACCTTATGGGTACTAAGACATAACAGTTGAAATAAATATTTTTACGAGATGGTTTGATCTCAATGTTAATTTCTAATGTTCAGTTTGTGGTAATGATCCAGATTCACCCCCGTTTCTTTCTCCAGTGCTTCGACTTGCTTTTCGTTTCTTCTAGCCATGTCCCACATCATCATTTCTCTAGCGTTCATTTGGTAGGTAAAGGTGTTCCCCTGGGGGCCCGAGGTACCGTTATACCCAGTAATGTTTCCAATATGATTTGTGTCAACATAATGGAGTGCAACGTCGCATTGTCAATAAGTGTTGCTGGTATTATATTCTTCTCTATCAGAAGTTTCATCAAATCCAAAGTTGCCAAATTTCCCTCTTGCGTAATAATTTTGTCCGAGAGCCAGTGAGTAACAATGTTTCTCCAAGTCATGTTTGCTTCAAATGATTAGAGAACTAAAGAGTCAGTATCCTTTATAGGTTTTGATTATGGAATAATATGTAATGCATTGACGGACTGCCCCATTGTGACACGGTCCTCGGAAATGTATCTGTGTTCGACGCATGCATACCACACTTTCTCGATAAAGTCTTGGTCTGTTATAATTGCCTTGTCGTCTTCATAATACGGTACTCCGTGTCTTATTAACTCCTCTTCGGAAAATTCCTCTAAAATCTTATCGTACAGGTTAGTAGCACACATGTTATGACGAAACACAAGTTCCTCATTAGTGAAAAATAGTATACCGATGGTCATCTTCACGCTGCCCAACAATGAATGAAATCTGTAGAGACATCATGCCTTTTATAGGTTACAATAACTGAAAGACCAGATGTTTCAATGCCTGCCTGTGTTCCACGCAAAAGGTGGTTTTCCAATCGTCCGCTGTATACTCAATCAATTCGAAATCATGTACTTTCATATCGCTCAAACTTTCAGTAAAAGCCTCCATCACTTTTGTTTCTGAAGCCTTTTCCAGAGCATGATCAAAGTATAGACATAACCGTTCGTCTCTTTCCATCGTAAGACACTGATGATGCGTCTGAGACAGATGCTCTGTCATGCAACCGTTACAATTTTCAACAACAAGCTGAGAGATGATAGGAGCGATTTCTTCAGCTGAAACTTTTAAAAGTTTTTTCATGATACATTTCTGACGATGATAGAGAACAAGTTCCTTATTGTCAATATCAATAGGTTTAGACATGTTTACTCTTTGTCTGATCGAAAGTAGTGACTGTTTCTTCCCAATGGAAAAAAGTTTTATATGTGCGTGCACCTTTAACAATCTTCTCATAATAGTGTGTACGTCATGGGACACTCTGTCAGTAAAAATCCGAAGGTTAATAAAAATCATAATAAACAGAAAATGTTTAGAATCGGTATAAGTGCAGGGAGAAATTATCTTAATCTCGAGGGGCATGTACAAGTGGGATACTGTAGTAAAACCGTCAAAAATTACAACCCCATTGAAAATACGAAGCCTCAGGAGGATAGTATTCAAAACGTTGAAGAATGAAAGGATTCCGTCATTTCACGTGTGAACATGGACGATTACTTATCTAGCGTTTATTACGATCCGAAAAGGTCGGGAGGATTTGGCGGAGTGGATCGTTTGTACCAAGATGTTAAAAAAGAGGGAAAGTTTAAAATCAGTCGAAAGGAAATCAAGGAATGGTTAATGAAACAGGACGCATACAGTTTGCACAAACCCATGCGCCGCCACTTTAAACGAAACCGTTTCATTGTGGGGGGTATTGATCAACAATGGCAAATGGATTTGGCGGACATGCAATCCATGCAGAAGTTTAATGATGGATATCGTTATCTACTCGTGTGCATCGATGTCTTTTCCAAGTATGCATGGGTAGTCACGTTGAAAAACAAGACAGGTCCTACACTGGTCGAAGCTTTCAAGGTCATTTTAACGTCCGGACGCAAGCCCAAAAAGATCATGACTGATCAAGGAACAGAATTTCTAAACCAGCATTTCCAAGCATTGATGAAAGAAGACATCGAACTGTACAATACGTACAATGAAACGAAAGCTTCTATCGTGGAACGTCTGATTCATACTCTAAAAACCAAAATGTGGCGCTATTTTACAGCCAGGAAAACCATGCGATACGTAGACATGTTACCCAATCTGATGTATTCTTACAATCATAGTGTTCACCGTAGCATCAAGACAAGACCCACGGACGTTACTGTTGGGAACGAGAAGAAAGTGTGGCACACCCTGTGTGATGATCATAGCGTAGCGAAAAATGTAAAGTACAAGTTTAGGATTGGCGATCAAGTGAGAATTAGCAAGATGAAACGAACATTTGAAAAGGGATACTTGCCGAATTTCTCAAAAGAGATCTTCACTATAAGCAAACAAATACCTCGAGATCCTCCTGTGTACAAACTAAAGGATCTGGATGGTGAAGAACTCAAAGGAACATTTTACGAGAAAGAGTTGCAAAAGATCATTAAGAAGGATGACGTCTACAAAATTGAGAAAATTTTGAAGAAACGTGGGCGAGGCAGTAATGTACATTATCTTGTAAAATGGTTAGGGTACCCAATAAATTTAATTCATGGGTACCAGCTTCTGAAATAAATAAGATTTAAACCGTTCAACGTGCTGTTTGTTTGTTCTTCTCATCGGAAATTCATAATGAGTGGAACACACTTTTACCTCGCACTTCCGAGCAATGCGTCCCTGGACGTTTTTCCCGATACCAAAACGACCGAATATCGTGTAAAATTACCGCGGCCCATTGATTTGGATGGCAATTGGGAAGTCGGACTGTACTCTTTTTCCTATTCCTACATGTGGTATACCCTGCGGGATATTAGTGCGGACACTCACTTCCTTTATTTGGGTTCTACCGATAGATGGATATCATCTGCGGCCATAAAGTACGGACACTATGAAACTATGGAAGAGTTCACTAAAGGTATGAATGATGCTCTGAAACAAGAGATCGGTAATAATACTGACATATATCTAACGTACAGTGCCTTGACGGGAAAAGTGACCGTCCACTTGAAACCCAAATGCAAACTTTTTTTATTCGACAAATTGTCCCTTATCCTGGGATCCGGTGGAAAAGAGGTGAAAATTGATAAAACGAGCGAAAGTCCTCACATAGTAGATTTAAATATCTTTTTGACGATCTACACATACTGCAATATCGTTCAGCCGCAGATCGTTGGAGATACGAGTGCGCAATTACTTTGAAGCATTCCCATCGAAGGAAAGTATGGTGATATGGTGATATCGTTATGAAAACGTTTACCAACATACAATACGTGCCTGTCCAAACAAAATCCTTTGGAGACGTGAAAATTCTTTTAAGGAACGACATGGGCGATCCCGTACCATTCGAACGCGGGAATGTCATAGAGACACTACATTTCAGACAGCATACTTATTTTACCTGAGAGAATGAATAATCACGTACGTTATTACCTGGATCAACAGCAAGGGCGTGGTATGCCGGTGTTCAGAGGCAGCCCCTGGCAGGTAGGGTACGGGCTGGGAGGACTGTTCCGTACTCTTGCAAGAAAAGCCATGCCTCTGATTAAAAGTGGAGCGAAAGCTCTTGGAAACATTGCCCTGAAAAGTGGGACAGACTTTGTGGGCGATGTCCTGGCAGGTAGAAACGTGAAATCAGCAGCAAAAGCACAAACCATACAGGCCACCAACATTGCAAAAAGAAAAGCTATCGATACACTAAGGAGTCAAACGGGGAGCGGAAAACGTGCCAGGCGCTCAAGAAGTGTAAAGCGTTCAAGAAGTGTAAAGCGAACAGCTAAAAAGAGAAAGGTTTCGGTATCTGCAGTCAGACACAGTCAGAGCAAGAAACGGAAAACAGTTAAAAAGAGAAAGGCATCAACATCTGCAGCCAGACGCAAACAGACCAAGAGACGGAAAACAGCTCAAGACATATTTGGTTAAGATCATGAATCTCGTACATTCCAAATCGCAAGAGTGCACAAAAAGCGAACTCGATCTATTCTCTGTGCCCCCAACACAAATCAGTTTAGAAAAAGGACATTGGGTAGATCATCAACCCGTTTCCAGTGTAGCTGATGGTGGTGTCATCACGTTCCTATCTCCAGGCACTGAAGATTATGTGGACCTTGCTAGAACGATTCTCGTGGCGAGAGCGAAAGTGACAAAAGCCGATGGTACGGATCTCGGAGCAGCCGAAAAGGTCGTTTTTTGGGGTTTTTTTTTTTTTCATTGTGAGTACATCGTTTCCAAATATTAATTTTTTTCCTCTTTTTTTCTAATCTGTTTAAGGTTGGAGTGGTGAACAACAATTTCCTCCACAGCCTGTTTAAACAGGTGGATGTCTTTTTGAAAGGGAAACAA